GATCCAGATCATCTCGCCAACGGCAACCTCGGACGCCTGCTTGAGCTCCTTTGCCGGGCCGGCGGGCAGCTTGTGCGTCGGGGTGAGCGTGACCGTCACCGTTGCGGTGGCGAGCGAGAGGAAGGCCGCCTTGGCGGACGGGTCGGCCAGCGAGAAGGAGGAGGCAGCGTCGAAGCCGAGGGTGCCTGCATTGGTCAGCAAGCGAGTCAAACAAGTGACACCCCTCTCATATGACATTGAAAGCGAGCGCACCGTCAGCCGCCGCGGCGAGGATCGAGTCTCCGGCGGAGAGGGAGGAGAGGGGGACGGTCTCGCCGTCGGCGAGCTGCACCGTCGCAGAGCTCGGGAAGCACGGCGGGTCCGTAAACTGCAGGTTCGCGTTAGCTGAAGGCGACGAGGGCGGCGGCGGCGTGGGCGGCGGCGGCAATGGCGAGGCGGAAGGCGGCGGCGGCGGGCTCGGGGGCGGTGGCGACGGACGCGGTGGTCTGGGCGGAGGCGGCGAGGGCGGTGGTGGAGACGGAGGCGGGCTCGGAGGCGGCGGGCTCTGTGGTGGGGGTGAGGGCGGTCGTGGGCATGGGTGAGGCGCCGACGGCGCCGCCGAGGGCGGCGGCGGCGACGATGCCGGGGGGCTGGGAGCCGGTGGCGATGGCGGCGGCGGGCTCGGGGGGGGTGGGCTCGGGGGCGGTGGACTCGGAGGCGGTGGCGAGGGCGGTGGAGGCGAGGGAGGTGGCGGGCTGGGCGGGGGTGGGCTCGGAGGCGGCGGCGACGGGGGCGGCGGCGATGGCGGCGGCGGGCTGGGCGGCGGAGGCGACGGGGGTGGCGGGCTTGGAGGCGGCGGCGACGGTGGCGGCGGGCTGGGCGGCGGCGGGGAGGGCGGAGGCGGACTTGGAGGCGGAGGGCTCGGAGGCGGCGGCGAGGGCGGCGGCGGCGAGGGTGGTGGTGGGGATGGCGGCGGAGGGCTGGGCGGCGGCGGCGAGGGAGGAGGCGGACTTGGCGGTGGCGGCGACGGAGGGGGTGGTGAGGGCGGCGGAGGAGAAGGCGGCGGCGGGCTTGGAGGCGGCGGCGAGGGCGGCGGCGAGGGCGGCGGCGGCGAGGGCGGCGGCGGCGAGGGAGGGGGCGGCGAGGGAGGCGGAGGGCTGGGTGGCGGCGAGGGCGGAGGGGGCGAGGGCGGCGGCGGGCTTGGCGGAGGCGGGCTTGGCGGAGGCGGCGAGGGCGGCGGCGAGGGCGGCGGCGGGCTCGGGGGCGGTGGCGACGGAGGCGGCGGCGAGGGCGGGGGAGGCGAGGGCGGTGGTGGAGACGGAGGCGGGCTCGGAGGCGGCGGGCTCGGTGGTGGGGGTGAGGGCGGTGGTGGGCTTGGGGGAGGCGGCGACGGCGGCGGCGAGGGCGGCGGCGGCGACGGTGGCGGGGGGCTGGGAGGCGGTGGCGATGGCGGCGGCGGGCTCGGGGGGGGTGGGCTCGGGGGCGGTGGACTCGGAGGCGGTGGCGAGGGCGGTGGAGGCGAGGGAGGTGGCGGGCTGGGCGGGGGTGGGCTCGGAGGCGGCGGCGACGGGGGCGGCGGCGATGGCGGCGGCGGGCTGGGCGGCGGAGGCGACGGGGGTGGCGGGCTTGGAGGCGGCGGCGACGGTGGCGGCGGGCTGGGCGGAGGCGGGGAGGGCGGAGGCGGACTTGGAGGCGGAGGGCTCGGAGGCGGCGGCGAGGGCGGCGGCGGCGAGGGTGGTGGTGGTGATGGCGGCGGAGGGCTGGGCGGCGGCGGCAAGGGAGGAGGCGGACTTGGCGGTGGCGGCGACGGAGGGGGTGGTGAGGGTGGCAGCGGCGAGGGGGGCGGCGGCGAGGGGGGCGGCGGCGAGGGGGGCGGCGGGGAGGGAGGAGGTGGTGATGGGGGAAGCGGCGGGGAGGGCGGTAGCGAGGGTGGGTCGTGGTGTCCTGGCCACCAGGGAGGTGGCGAGGGCGGCGGCGGCGAGGGCGAGGGCGAGGGCGAGGGCGAGGGCGAGGGCGAGGGCGAGGGCGAGGGCGAGGGCGACGGAGACAGAGGCGGAGACGCATACGTCACCCAAATCGGGTCGGCCGCACCCACTTCACACACGTGGTCGCCTCGGTACAGGTCCGCGTCCACGTCGATGGGGCCAGCCTCTTTGCAATAGCCCCACGGGGAGCTAAACGTCACGGGGCCCTGACGGGACGCGTCCTCGACATGGCACCACGCTGGGTAGCCCTCCTCGATCAGGCACCTGCCAGCTGTTGAGAAGGACCGCCCGTCCCAGCTCACAGATGTGGCGGCGCACTTGCACGGCGGCGAGGGCGGCGGCGGCGACGGCGGCGGCGGCGACGGCGGCGGCGGCGACGGCGGCGGTGGCCTCGGTGGCGGCGGTGTCGGAGGCGGCGGGCTCGTCGGTGGCGGTGACGGCGGTGGCGGAGACGGCGGCGGCGGTGAGGGCGGCGGCGGTGAGGGCGGCGGTGGTGACGGCGGCGGCGGAGATGGTGGAGGCGGGCTCGGTGGCGGCGGTCTGGGCGGCGGCGGCGAGGGCGGCGGCGGTGACGGCGGCGGCGGAGATGGTGGCGGCGGGCTCGGTGGCGGCGGGCTGGGCGGCGGCGGCG